TATATATATATATGTATGTATATATATATATATATATGTATATATATGTTGTATGAATTTGATATTTTATCACTATTAGATTTATGTATAGTTTGATTTTTAGCTTCTAATGAAGGAATTTCCTAGACATGGATATAGCAAACGAATGATTTTAGTGAATACATAATTCAACAAAACTAATCGAAGCAAATATAGAGCTTAACAAAAACAAATTTAGCGAAAATAAAGTTCAATGAATTTGCTTTTAGAATTTATAAAATTCAATAAATTTAATTTTAGCCAACAGATTTAAGGAAAATCACCGTCGCAATTACAAGATTTCAACTCATGTAATTTTAAGAAATGTAAATTAATGATAACAATAATTTTTTAAAATAAAGTGAACATATCTCTTAACACTATGAGTTTGACTAAGTAATGTGTTGTCAGAAAAAAAAAATCAACAAACAAGAAGTTAAAAAAAGCTCATGTCAAGAAATTTGGTTTTTTGTAAGACAGAGTTTAGAGAATATTAATTTTAACAAAACTATTCCAGTATATATAATGCACATTTTCAGGATGAAATCTAAATGAACTTCGAAGCGTACAACTCACTCTAAGTTTGAAAAATAATGCTGAAATAAATCCAGCAAACTACGTATTCTCAAAACTAAATCCTGAGTTTCAAACCATAACATTAGTTTCAACATACAATGAGTATGGAAACTAAATCCGAATGAGACTCATGGCATAGCTCGATCCATCGAAAAAAAAAAAAAAAAGAAAATTGAATGAATTGAAAGATGTTCCTTTCCAACAAAAAAAAAAAAAAAAAAAGAACATTGAATGAATTGAAAGATGTTTCAGCTCAAAATCAAATCCGCCAAATAGCACCGAAAGGAATTCTGGAGCAAAAGCTCACTGTTTTTTGTTAGCATAAAAATGAAATTAACTATAGTAGCAACATGGCATTAACAAATTTGCATCATATAACACGTTTCTTGAGGTGTGACCCAAATCTCGAGGTAATTTTTTTTTAATGGAGAATGTTTAAACTTCAATTAAAAAATCATCCAAATTTTCAATTTCAACAAACATACAACCAAACTGATTGAATCAATGAGATGAACACAATGACACCAAACATAGGCTCCGTTTAGCGCAGCTTATTCGCTGTAGCGGCGTTTTGAAAACACCGCATCATCGTTTGGAAATTGTGTTTGAGCAGCTTATCTGAAAACACTGTTGGTTTTTTACACTAAACGCAGAACGTGGGTCAAACCTCGCGGTCCTCGTTTCCAGGTAAACAACTTATATGGATAAGCACAAGTTGCCCTAACACACCCTTTCTCCAATCCGAATAATATCAAGCTGAGATCAAGCCATTAAGCCATTTCTTGAAGCTTATAGTGCCCAGTTGGATAGTCGAATGGATTCTAAATCTGACAAGCTTATAGTTGAATTAATCATATTTGCGAGGTGAATCCAAAGAGCATAAAAGCATTCAATTCTGATATCGCTAAAGCACTGAAATGTTTACCAGAGCTTGGAAGAGAAGAAGTTAACATCTAGTATTATACCCCGAAGGTGCAGCAAACACCATCCACTTTCGCAATTATAGAACACTTTTGACCACCGATCGCTAGCCGACATCGACCATTACTCGCCACAACCATGGACCACCATTGAATGCCCTCTGCTCGTTGCAATGAAGCCCCTTACAGAATCATAACATGCATTGTAGAATCATGACGTATATTGCAGAGTAACAAAGCACCCTATAGAGTAATGCAACAACGAACCCCAAAGACGGTGTAATGACACACCATTAAGATAGTTTAACAACGCCCCAAAAATATTGTGCAACAACACGCCTTACATATAATGCAACATTGTGCCTTGCATATGGTGCGACGATGCACCTGCATATAGTGTAATAAAGCCTCTCAAAGATGTTGTAACAATGCATCTAGGATACTGTTGAACGATGTGCCTCACATACGGTGTAATGATGGGCACATATGTGCAATCCTATGTACCTCATATGGTGTAACGATGCACCCGCAAATCATACAATGACGCTTTCCAAAGATGGTGTAACAAAGCACCCCTGATGGAGTGCAATGATGCACCTCACATATGGTGCGACGATACCTCCCAAAGATGATATAACAATGAACAATGAAATAACTACTTGCAACTACCGTACTCAAGATACAATGGATTTTCTCCAAATTTATGAAGTTCTCTCTTTGCATCCCACCATTACGACTTACAAAACATAGTATGATCAACATATCATGCAGCTCCTAACTCCAGCTTTTATGACCTACAAACATTACACAAGTCTTGTAGCTCCATACTTTGGACTTTGTGGCCAATGAATGTCATAAAAACTCTTATTACACTTCATGCAACTCCCAAATCGGCCTCGGTAACCTATGTACGTTATCACAACTCATGCAACTCTCAAATATGACTTATGCGACTTGCAAATGTTATCAAAACTCATGATGCTCCTGACTCTAGCCTCTGCTATCTATGAACGTTATCATGTAGCTTCGGCCTCCATAGCTTATAAATGTTATCACAACTCATGAATCTCCCAACTCCAGCCTCTGTAACCTACAAATGTTATCAAAATTCATGCAACCCCTAACTCCATACTCTATGGACTACTGGTTTTGTTACAACTCCCCTCTACAGCGTTGTTGACCTCATTTTCGGTGAAGTCTTTCTTTCATCTTAGTACTTAAAATCTAGTCATAGGACTTTCTTTTTGACTATCCTAGAAGACTAGAGATGGAACCCACATGC